CTGTCTGTAACGCATTTAAGGTTCTTGAAGAAGGCGCTATATAAATACAAAGTCTTATCTATTAAAGTTGGCTTATTTGTGCTTGTTGGTTTTTAAGTATATATTTTTTCTTTTTGCCCAAAATGTATTTGGAATTAGAAGCATACACTTTAGGACTTGTATTAGTCCTTTTGTGTAAGTTACAGCTTTTGTTACCCAGAGTCCCTAGAAAGCCACATGGTTATAAAACAGGGTGTGTGGTCTCTTGTTCCTGAACACCGTCTGCTGTGTGTTCTCCAGCACTGGGACAGACTTCCCGAGTGGAGCATCTTATGAGGAAGAAAGGTTTATTTAGGTTAATGGTTCCAGGAGTCTCAGTTCATGGTCAGTTGGCTCCATGAGTTGGAGCCTGTGGGAGATGGACTGCCTGGCTCACAAAGCCAGGGAGCAGAGAAGAAAGGTCTGGGGTCACACCATCTTGAAAGTCACACCCAGCTCTAACTCTACGGTTGGCCCTGCCTCTGAAAGGCCCTACCAAGCCTTCACCGTGGACCTTGGGGGAACTCCAGGTCCAGGCCTGCCTTTATGCAATGATGTGCCTTTTGAGACAAGTCCCTAGTTTATATTTTCACATTTAGAATCAGGCTGTAAGAGGCAAATTCCAGAGGTCAGTGTCTGTCTGTCCCTCCTACTGGCAGTGAAAGCCTTTGCCCCTGTAACATCCGTTCGTCCGAGTCACCTGACATGTTCCTTTTATTGTATTGTCTGACTGTGATAGCAGAGTGATGCTGGCCCCGTAGGATGAGTTAGGACGTTGTCCCCCTTCGACTTTCTGGATGGGTGTAAGTATCCAGAGGGTTGGTTTGTGTGTTTGTTTTTAACCAGTAACTAGCACCTACACTTGTAAGTCGTCCTTGAGGAATTGGAAGGCATACATGGTCTTTGCCATTAAAGAGCTGACTGAGTAGATGGGCATTGGTGGTGCACACCTTTTGTCCCAGCACTAGGAGGCAGAGGCAGGAGGATCTCTCTGAGTTCAAGGCTAGCCTGGTTTACAGAGCGAGTTCCAGGATAGCCAGGGCTGTTACACAGAGAAACCCTGTCTCAAAAAAAAAGAAAGTAACTGTCTTAATATCAGAAAAAAGTAGCCATCTTTCTCTAATCAGATGAGCTATTCCTAAATCTGGATAATTGTAGAATGTTCTGGTTTCTGAGATTAAATTCCCAAAGGTTTTCCTTCACTGAGCAGAGGAGGAGAATCCCACCCCGCAGAGGTCCCTGGAGGATCTAGGCAGGTTGGGGCTTCCTGACTTATGTGGGCTCTCATCATGTTTCTGTGAGCCCACTGCCCGTCTAGCACTGACCTGATGGGAGCGTTACCACCCAGGTCCTCACAGCACGGACAAGAGGAAGCTTAGAGAGTGTAACACGCACAGCACTTGAAAGTTGCCGTGTGGGTGGTTGTGCCAGAGTTGAACTGGGACTACATTGGGAAGTCGGAGCGCATGGAGCTGCATGCAGCAGTGAGAGCGAGGGGCAAGCCAGCACCAGTGGAAGCTTTTTTTTTGTTTTTTGGTTTTTTGAGACAGGGTTTCTCGGTTGTAGTCCTGGCTGTCCTGGAACTCACTCTGTAGACCAGGCTGGCCTTGAACTCAGAGAGATCTGCTTGCTTCTGCCTCCTGCCATTAGAAGCTTCCTAAGTGGGATTCTTAGAACCGGCTACAATATTATGTTAGAAGAGTTTCACGCTCCCTCCCAGATGGGGCAGCCCATTGAGCACGTTGAAGTTGCAGGTAAATGGCCCCACTTTTTTTTTGTTCCAGTGTCCACACCTACTTATTCACTATTCTGTTCTTTGCTCCACACTCGAGGGTAGATCGGCACAATTTACCATTGGAACGTTGCCTCTGGTTCTCTTCCTAAGAAAGGAGGGTGAGCTGAATACACCAGGATGAAGATTTCAGAGAGAGGGCCGAGCTGATACAGTCTGCTCTTTTAGCAGGCAGGCTGGTATCAAAATAAAATCAGTGGCATTGAGCACGTCTACTCCGCATATATAGAGCACTTCACTTGGAAGGATGTTTCGGTTTTGGGGGTTGAATAAACTTTATTCTGTAGCCTCTATGATGAAAGACTTAGGTTTAAAAATACCTGCCTGCAATCCCAGCACTCTGGCAGTGGATGCAGGAGGGTTGGGAGTTCAAAGCCACCCTCAGCTACACAGGAAGTTTGAGGCCATTCTGGGCCACATGAGATCCTGCTTCCAAAATGAAGTCTCAGAAGCATGACCTACTATGTGACTGTGTTATTTGTAACACTCCCCGGTAAAGCCCTGAAAGCGCACACTGCGTCACTTGTAAACAGTACTGAAGAAAAATAAAACAATTTACTATGTTTCTAAAAAACGATGCTGTTCTTGTTGTGTCAGCCCCTTTTCTGTTACTGTGAAACGCCCTGATCAAGGCAACTTAGGAAAGAAAATATTAAACTGGACTTACGGTTTGTAGAGGGTCAGAGTCCGTGAAGGTGGAGAAAGGGCGTGGCCGCAGAGACAGTGCGGCTGCGCTCCAGAGCCTGCCCACCAGCGACACACCCTCTAACCCTTCTCAAACAGTTCCACCAACTGTTCAACCAAGTACTCAAACGTGGGAGTCTCAAACCACCACACCCACCAAAAAGAAAGGCCTGTTTTAAGTGCAGTATGAACATTGTGATGTCATTTTGTCCGCATTATACATTCTGTTCTCCCTGCTAAACTATTAGTTAGAGCTAATTGTAAATTACATTAGTTTAACTTGATGTTATGTGGGGTAAGATGGTTTATGATCTATGCCAAAGTGGGTGGGTGGAAGCTGCTCCTGGGCTACGGTCTGGAGCATGGCGTGGAGTGGCTGTGATGTGATGAGACTCGGAAGAGTGTGACTGGGCTGTAGGACAAGGGAGAGGAGCGCCAGGGACGATTCCTTTTCTCCAGCT